TGCAACACTGGAGTTTATGCAGCAACAGAGGCTATGTCTAGACTGCAGGTTTCTTTTAGAAGAAGCTTTTCTGGAAGAGATTTTCCAAAAAAAATTCTTCTGAAAGAGAGCATCCACACTGCAAAAACACATCGAAAAAATGATCTGCTTTTTTGAAAGATAGCATGCACACTGAATGGACTCTATTTCACATTTCCACTGTGGACAGAGTGGCAACCAGGGCACCTGTGCTTTTTCCTCTTTCCTCTTCTGTTGAAAGAACTCCCTCTTCCCCGTCCACACATGCCTTTTTACAAAAGAGCTCTTTGGAAAAGGCTTCTTCCTCGTAGAAAGAGGATTACCAAGTCGGAAAAAAACCTCATTTTGATTTTCTTTTGGAAGAATGAGATTGCAGTGTGGACATAATTGAAGTTTATGGAAAAAAAAAAATTTTCTGAAAAAACTCTGTAGTATAGACCTACCCAGAGTGAGAGAAAGATAGGATTAAGATCTCTGTTTTGAAAATGGGGAATAGAAGAACAAAGAATAAGGGTGCATCTCCACAGCACCATAACTCAAAATAAGATATGCAATTTGAGCTAGGCAAATTGCGTATCTTATTTCAATACTATTTCAAAATAGCTTATTTTGTCATTGACAGCACCAAATTTTGGAATAAAGTGCTATTCTGAAATGTCCCTTACTCCTCATAGAATGAGGTTTACAGGAATGTCGGAAGAGTGAGTCTGAAATAACAGGCTTGCTCCGAAGATGTGGGATAGCTATTTCGGGATATTCCAGTATCCCAAAATAGCACTGCAGTGTAGATGTAGCCTAAGTGACTAAGCTTGGGTCTCACGGTGAATGTGGCAAAGCTGAGTATTTAATCCAGATCTTCCAAACCCCCACCTAGTGCCTAACCATAAGTCCATCTGTCTCAACAGTGCACATAGAAGAATTGGAAAAGGAGTTTTAATATTTGAAATTAGCATGTTTTATTTATTCATAGACTGCTTTGATTTTGCAATTGAGTGTTTTGATACTGTAAACAAGAAGCAGGAAGCCTTATCTCCTGCAAATTGAAACCAAACTTGTTTGTCTGAGTGATTGGCTGAACAAGAAGTAGGACTGAGAGGACTTGTAGGCACTAAAGTTTTACATTATTTTTAATGCAGTTATTTTTCTACATAATTCTACACTGGTAAATTGAACTGTCATGACAAAGAGATTGCAGTCCAGTACTTGTATTAGGTGATTTGAAAAATACTATTTATTTTATTTTTTACAGTGCAAGTATGTTTATTGATGATTACAAATAAAGTGAGCACTTTGTATTCTGTCTTCTACTTGAAATCAATATATTTGAAAATGTAGAAATCATCCAAAATATTTAAATAAATGGTATTCTATTATTGTTTAATGGTGTAAGGAAAGGAAAGGAATCTAGGGATCGTAGTGGACCACAAGCTAAATATGAGTCAACAGTGCGACGCTGTTGCAAAAAAAGCAAATATTCTGAGATGCATTAACAGGAGTGTTGTGAGCAAGACACAAGAAGTCATTCTTCCACTCTAGCCTGCACTTATCAGGCCTCAATTGGAGTATTATGTCCAGTTCTGGGCACACATTTCAAAAAAGATGTGGAAAAATTGGAGAAGGTCCAAAGAAGAGCAACAAGAATGATTAAAGGTCTAGAGAACATGACCTATGAAGGAAGGCTGAAAGAATTGGGCTTGTTTAGTTTGGAAAACAGAAGACTAAGAGAGGACATGATAGCGGTCTTCAGTTATCTAAAAGGGTGCCATAAGTAGAAGGGAGAAAAATTGTTCTCCTTAGCCTTTGGATAGGACAAGAAGCAATGGGCTTAAAGTGCAGCAAGGGAGGCTTAGGTTAGACATTAGGGAAAACTTCTTAACTGTCAGGGTGGTTAAACACTGGAATAAATTGCCTAGGGAGGTTGTGGAATCTCCATCTCTGGAGATATTTAAGAGCAGGTTAGATAGACATCTATCAGGGATGGCCTAGACGGCACTGGGTCTTGCCGTGAGGGCAGGGGACTGGACTCGATGACCTCTCCAGGTCTCTTTCAGTCCTAGTGTTCTATGATTCTATGTTCTGTGAAATAGATTTTGGATGGAGAGGACTAACAAGAATCAGTACTGCCAATGGCTGGCTCTTTCTCTTCCTATTAGCTGCAGGCACAATGTCCATGGCTTTTCCCGTAGGATCCAGTGTTTTCCCTTGTGAATGACATTTTGCATAACCAAGTTCTCTTCACTGTCTCTTTTTGTCTAGCAGACTAACAATCACTACATCTCGTCTGCTTGTTCCTGCATGTCTTACTACACCTAACTGTTCAGAGAGAATGACAATGCATATACAAAAGTCGGATTACAAGTTTCTCAAAAGTGGAATCAAATGACTGTCAAGTACTGCCAGTCTCTCACAGCTGCTATTGTGAAGTGACCTCGAGATATTACTACTCAGCCTCTGTTTTTTTCTCTCTGGCTGTGTCCAGACTCAGGGTTTTTTTCGAAAAAAGTAGCCTTTTTTTTCCGAAAAAAGTAGCCTTTTTCGAAAAAACTTCACCTGCGTCTAGACTGCAGCCGCGTTCTTTCGAAATTAAATCGAAAGAATGTGGCTTTTCTTTCGACGGTGGTAAACCTAATTCCACGAGGAAGAACGCCTTCTTTCGAAAGTGCTCTTTCGAAAGAAGGCGTTCTTGAAAGCAAACAGGTTTTTTAGAAAGAGAGCTTTTTTGAAATTCCGTGTGCAGTCTAGACGCTCTCTTTCGAAAGAGGCTTGCAGTCTAGACATAGCCTCTGTAACTTCTTCTATCTTACTGGGACCTTCTGCTACAGAATTTCACAGAGTAACAATCCAAATAAAATTCAATGGCAGGGCCAGGTCTTGGACCCTGATTAGCCTCTTTGCACCACTCTGGTAGCGCAAATAGATTGAAAAACTGCCCACCCTGCCTGCTGGGGCTTTTCTGTCTTCGGGGGAAATCACTGGACAGTGAGCAGCTGGCATAACAAGGCCTATGTTCCGTCCTTTTTAGATGCACTAGCATAGAGGGACTGCAGACAGCCTCTGTACTCTGGCAATCCCCAGGTGGGGTTATGGCCATATGGGGCTGTTCCTATCCAACAAAAGTTAGAACAACTAAGGCCATTCTAACTCCTGCACCATATATTTTATGTATAGCATTCAACACATTTTTAATGACATTTATCCCTCCCACCAATAGCTCTTGCTTGGCCATCTATAAATTTGATTAGAGTAGGAAAAGTGAAGTTTTGTTTCAGCAAGTGTGAACAGTTTTCTCAGACTTGGGGCAAGAAACGGCACTGCACATTGTTCTGAAAAGACTGTGGAAACACTGGATATGGTAGCAGCATGCATCTCTCATGTGGATTTAGCCAATGTGACAGCACCTCCAGGTGTCTGAGGGCAGGACTTTCATTGGCGACTGCAAAAACCATTATCTCCGTTCTCTTAGGGAATGTCTACACAGCAACATTATTTTGGAATAAATGACGTTATTCCAAAATAACAATGAGCACGTGTAGGGTATGTCTAGCCTTTATTTTGAAATAATGTCGAGCTGGAGGACTTCTTACTTTGACTCCTGTAAGCCTAGTTTCACGAGGAGTAAGGGAAGTTGAAGGAAGAGTGTTCTTCTTTCTTCAACTTCCTGCTATGTAGGCAGCACCTAAAGTTGAGTTAAGCTATTTTGAATTAAGCTGTCCAATTGATGTAACTGAAGTTACATAGCTTAATTTGAATTTAGCCCTCCTATGTAGACGTACACTGTGTGACTGAAAACAAGACATGTGAGTTCTTACAGGCAACTCTCCTTGGTGCTGTGACACTTTTGTACTGTTTAATCTTGCAAGCTAAGCTGGTACAGTACATTGGGCTGGTTCAGTTTTTGCATATGAGGTTTCCCTGGTCAGTTACTGGACTTAAATCACATTGGATGAGTAGGGAGAAATTATGATGTTCAAATCCAAAAACATTTCCCACCCATCCTTTATCCTCCCTCTTTACCATTGATATAATGTTGTGGCATGAATTCTTCCTATAAAGCAGGGCTGGGGAAAATACAGGCTGGGGTCCAGATCCAGCCTGCCAAGCCACCAGATCTGGCCCCTGCCAGGACCCTCAATAATGCCACTGCCTAGGTTTAAATCACAGTCCCTGTGTTTCTCTGCTCGGCAGGGAGGGAGAGGCATCGTACGATCTTCCCGCCCCCAGCCCAATCCTCAGCTCCAGTTAGCCAGAAACAACCGGCCAAAAAGAACTGACCTCAGCCAATCTCTCAGCTCCTATTGGCTGGAAACAGCCAGCCAATCGGAGCTGAGAGATTGGCCTGAGCGATTGGGGCAACTGCAGTGTTTCTATATCCTGAGAAATTTCCCAAATTCTGGGAATTTTTGAGTAAAATGTGTCAAAATGGGAAATTGAGAATTTTTTTGAAAATCTGTTAAATCCTGGGAAATTTTCAATGAAATTAAAATTTCTGTTCATTTTGTCATTCCTTTGGAATAAAAATTTGCGGACGATTTGACTCAATTGGTCAATAGGGTTGCCTATCAATTATTAGAACTCATTGAACTTGATGCTAAAAATTGTACAGCGGAAGGCATTTATACTAAATTCAAGGAGTCAATTTAAAAAAAAAATCCATTGAATAATATTTTGGGTGTTGCTTGTGATAGTGCAAATGTGGTGATAGGAGCAAAGAATTCCTTTTTCTCTAAACTTAGAGAGGATGTTCTAAATGTTGTTTTGCTGAGATGTATTTGCCATACATCAGCCCTGATATCAAGTTCAGCTTCTACAGTTTTGCCTGATTTCGTAGAGCAGTTTATAACAAATATCACTAACTATCCAGCACATAGCACTAAAAAGAAAGAAGAAATTGAGGAGATGGTTGAATATTTTCTCCATTTAAAGTTATCTATGTTAAAACCAAGTCAAACAAGGTGGTTAGCAGTACACCCTTGTGTAAACAGAATATTAGTGTTGTGAGATGCCCTTTTTAACTAGATACAACTTGTGTGTCGATCAAAAAAGTTCAAAAGCAAAAGAAATACATGATGCAATGTGTAATCCAGAACTTAAATCCTATCTACTATTTTTGAAATATGTTTTGGATTACATGAACAAATTCAGTGCTCTCTTTCAAAGCAAATCTCCACTCATTCATTGCATTAAACCAGAGTCAGTGAAACTTTTCAAAGTAATTGCAACAAATTACTTAAAACCACATTTCCTAAAATGTGAATTAACAAAAGTTAATGTGTCGCATCCCTCTAATTTTATCAAAATTAATTAAATGTATACCGGTCCAGAGTGTGAGGAGTACTTAAAATGTATTGGTCCTAGTGTAGCTATGAAAAAATAATCTGGGAATTTTTCATCAGATTTGGAAAATTTTTAGCGCTGGCCTGGGAAAAGTCAGCAACACGATATTGAAACACGGGGCAGCTGGAGTTGAGAGCCACTTGGAGGGAGCAGCCTGTATTTTCAAGTGGGCTGGGGCTGCAGCGGGAAGGGAACCCCGCCTGCCTTGGGGTAAGACACTTAGGTAAACTCCTCCCAGCCAGTGCCTGCCTCTAGCACCCCAGACCTCCTGCATCCCAACTCCCTCCCCCAGATCACCATTCAAATCCTCTGCACCCCTTGCCCCAGGTAACAACTCCATTCCAGAACCTGTACTCCTTATACTCCTACCCCAGGCCAGAATCCTCTCCTGCACCCACACTCCTGCCCTGACCCTACACCCCAATCCCCTGACCCAGGTTACAACCCCTTCTGGCACCCATACACCCTCTCAGATCGCACACCGTCTTCTGCACTCTAGTCCCTTACCCCGTGCACTCTTCTGCACCCAACCGCCGAACTAGACCCTGCACCTCCTCCACGGGAAAGTGTGGCTCTTGACCACTTACCAAAATCTTGGAGTAGCCCCCCACCAAAAATTATTGCCCACCCCTGCTATAAAGCAACAAATGATAGGTGTTTCTCAGGAGATTTTTCTGCCAGTCCTCCTCCCCACTGAATGTTTAGTGAATTGTCTCCTTAAAGTCTTTCTTTTACATCAGCTGTTTTTACTCACAATTCCACAAATGGTGAATTTGCACAATAAAAGCAGTATGAAATGCTTTCATGAGTTTGCAACAAATATTTATTTAACAAAATGGATGTCATCATCATAACTTCAAAACTTAGGTATATAGTACAAATTTATCAGTACTAGGTTTCCAAAATGAAATCAACATCAAAGGTAAGGCAGGATACTCTTTTGAGTTTTCATGCAAGAGCGTATTCAAACGTTCCTTTATCCAGCCCCTCGACTTCATCTTCCCAAGTGGAAGAAGGCATGCTACTATACGGGTCCAGTAAGATTTTGAAGCATCTAATAATAAGTAATCCCAAGAAAACACACAGAATCCCTACAAAGGCAAAGCCAGTTTTTTGCTCTAAAGTCAGTGAGAAGGCAGACACTTCGTTGACACTCATGCTGGCTGAAGCGTTGCTGCAATAGCTACTGCTCATCATTGGGTGTCACATCCTGGTGAGTCTTCAGGATTTTCACTTGTATTCCCTCTTTGCCTGTACACAAAAGTGAAGTCAGTTTGGTTACAGCCAAATGTGACACAGAGCTCTGAGCTACTACTATACCAAAAATGTTAAAAAACAAACTCCACGGGTGTCAATAGTGAAAGCACCCTTTTTTACACCCAGATCAGCCTGGAAATTCTGTCATTAGAAATTGGCAGCCCCTGAACAAAAGCTAGTTGGAGTTGCTAATCCTGACAATGACAATGAAAAACTGACAATTTACTTGCTAAAAGGGAAACTTGTGCTGGAGAGTTTGCACTGTCAGTATCTGAGTCCTTAATCTGGTGTAACACCCATGGACTTCAACCGGCATTTCATCTGACTAAAACTGGTGGATTGGGCACATGTATTTTAGCTGAGAACTAACTGCACTGAACCAAATGTAAGTATGAAAATGTCATGTTTATATAATATTGTTGGGCATTTATTTTGGGCTCCAATTCCACACAAATCCATTCATTTGCATGCCTAAAAATGCTTGTAAAATAACCTGCTGAATGTTTAAATTCTAACTCTGTATGTGTAAATGGTGCTATGTGCAAGCTGATAAGCTTGTGCAGTGGCATACTTGCTTTTCTTAATACGTGTCCCTGTGTGATTGTCACTCACTAGTTTATAAACTTTAGTAGAGTTTGGCTGGGGCCACAAACTGTTGAAATCTACATTCAGATTCACAGGCTGAGCCATGTGCCAGCTTCAAAGGGTACACAGTGGATATGTCCCCACCAAACTAAAATTAGAAATCCCTTCACCATTCGTGTATGTGGAAAGGTTAAAGGGAGAAGACAAGAATACAAATCTTATTCCTCCTTCAAAGCATCATGTATAAGCACTACACCAAGGGCTCAATCCTTCATTCTTGGCATATTAAAAACATCCACTGACTTCACTGGCAATTTGGGCAAGAGAGTGTAAGGAATAACCCTGTGTATTTTGGGCCCTTTTGCAAATTAGGTTTGTCCTTGCCTGAGTGTACTAGCCTGGGAAGGGCATGCAGGGAGCCCTTTTTCCTTTCTAGTGCACTCACACTGGGGATAGCTCATGCCGGGATTTGTGCTCCCTTTGTATAGTGGGGAGGAGGGTGGGAGGGGGCTCTTTAGCCTTTGTTTTGATCATTAAAGGCTGCAAAACGGTGTGACCAAGTGGACTAGGGAACATAGCCAAGGCCCCACCATACACACAGACTGATGCCTTGAGTCTGAGGCTGGAGAGCACCCATTCCACCGTTTTAGAAGTGTAACCTTCCATAGGCATAATGTTCCTGCCATTTTCATTCAGCTGCCACACCCTCCTCATCAGCATTGCCACAACTCAGCAGACTTCAAGGTGTCAGAGCATTATAGGTAATCTGCAAAGCAGAAAGAAATTGGACTTTTGTCCCTTTTTGGGGGAGGGGAGGGGCTTCTTTATAATGGTAAATAAAGCCAAAGGGAATTTGCTTCTCTTCATAATATTTTTCCCTTTACATCTCTTCTTTAACTTAGTCCATAATAAGAAGTAAGGGTACAACAAAAAGAAGGAAGGAAGGATAAAGTTAAAAACTCTGGGCCAGATTTTGTAGAGCTATTGACTTCCTTCAAACTAAGGATGCTAAATATCAGCTAACTGAATAGTCGAATAATCTCATGAATTCTTATCGGTTAGTCGACTATTCTATAGTCCCCCAGGGGTGGGGCTGGCAGCCACTGAGCTCCAGCCCCACTCCTGGGGAGCCCCCCGTCACCCCATGTTGCTGCTTCTCTAGCCGAAGCAGCAACATGTGGTGCCAGGAGGGAGCTGGTCCATGAGGGGAGCCAGTTTAAAAACCAGCTCTCCTCGTCGACTGGCTGCCTGCCTCCCTGTGCTGTTGCCTCTGATACAGCAGCAGTCCCTGCCCAGAGGCGGGGAGAGGTCTGAGCTCCTGGACCCAGCACAAGCCAGAACTGAGACAGGCTGCCTAACTAGCCGAAGCAGCAACATGTGGTGCCAGGAGGGAGCTGGTCCATGAGGGGAGCCAGTTTAAAAACCAGCTCTCCTCGTCGACTGGCTGCCTGCCTCCCTGTGCTGTTGCCTCTGATACAGCAGCAGTCCCTGCCCAGAGGCGGGGAGAGGTCTGAGCTCCTGGACCCAGCACAAGCCAGAACTGAGACAGGCTGCCTAATACACGTTAAATGCAGAATTGCAGTGGGTTCAGGTCCCGGACCTGGCACAAGCTGGGACTGAGCCGGGCTGCTGGTCAGCCTGCTAAAAAATGTATGTGGGAGGGAGGAAATGTGTGTAGCCTATAGCATTAACCTATAAGCATTTTCTTATTGGTTAATTGGTTAATTGACTATACTATTACATCCCTACTTCAAACTCCACTGATTTATACCCATTGGGGATTTGGCTCTATCACCTGAGCCTGTTTTAAGGTTTGGAAAATGTTGGTTTAAGCACCATCTCTCCTCTCCCTGACTCCCAGTCCAAACCTCTGCACATTGTTCATTAGCAGCGTCATTGCTCTTACTTAGAGGCTTATTCATCACAGCTGAGCCATGAGACCTTCACTCATGTCAAGTGATGCCTTTCTCTGAGTCGTGCCATTGAAACAAATGGTACAACTTGTGGAGTGTGGTGTGACTCAGTGAGTGACAAGGTGCCAACGTATGACCCATAGTCACCAAAAATAATGTCAATAACAATTGAATAATAATAATTGATACCTTTATGATGAAAAAATGTAATAGATGAAATCACTTGATGCACACATTTTCATGTGAGGCATATTTCCAGTGTTTCCAAAAGTTTTAACAGCTGCAGAGATTGGAAAGTGAAATCACAGAATTCTCAAACTGTTGCACAAATCAGTTATGTGTAACAGGCTCCAGACAGAAAAAGTTATCCTTCCAGGATCCCAAGGACACTTGGGAAATTAAAATCGAAAGGAGTATCCTGAGAAATTACTAAAGCAGGAAGACATAGTGCCAGAAAAAGTACAGTCCATAAAAGACACAAAAATCTGTGAGACAAATGATAG